TTAAAAACTTTTGTATCAAAATACATTGGGAATCCCTTTTTCTCAAACATAACCATGGTTTGAAATAAGTAGCATCGTAAGTAAATACATAAATAATAATTTAACACCAAATCGTCTCACATACATGCATAACATAGAGACTCACATTGCATAACTATAGGTATTCTAGTATATTCCACTCAAGTCTAGGTAATCACAAACAACATTTCATTCTAGTTCATAATCGATGCACTTATGGCACCAAACAGTTTGCACATATGCATTCACTGCACCTAGCCACGCTATGTGGCACTGTGATCACAGATTTACACCATGAATGGTTGCCGGTTACTCCCGCCTCATGGATACTACGAGGGCAGTCACAGGAAGCTTAGTAAAGGTAGTGGTCAGAGGTTTAGTCAAGAAGAGAGTGTGTGGCTCATGGTGCACCCATACTCACTATTAGTATCACCACCACTCTCTCTTCCCCAAGGTATTTCTACCGTTCTCATCTTCCACACCTCCAGTGTATCGCTGAACCATTCATAGCTTCATTACAACGACATTCAACACGCCTCATTCACACACATTTAAGTCACACACACAATGTTTATGCTTGAACACGGCACATAGCCCATGTTCATTCACAATACACGGCACATAGCCTACATTCATTTATATCATACGACACTTAGGCCCATATTCATTCGTATTACACGGTGCTCAGGCCCACATTCAAATCATATTATACGGCACAGAGGCCTATTTTCATTTACAACACTCGGCACATTTGTCCCTATTCCGTTACGCTACATTTTCCACATTTACCTACATTTATCATGCCATCCATACCCATTTCTAACTACTTACATTATTTAATCATCAATCAAAGATATAATCACACACACTTCAATCAAGGGTATGTCAACCCAATCACAACCAACTCACATTACATCCAACACACAATAACTTCCATAAACACACTCATTCTTACTCTCTATCTCAATCACATTACAAAATCATAGCAAATAAACAGGTTTTCAAGTAAAATGAGATAGGGTAGAGTCCCCCTTACCTCGAATGAAGACCCACACGCAAATCGACCCAAGGAAGTGCTCCCCACATAGATTTCATCCTAAATACACGGAAGAATTCCATGAGAACCCAGGGAAATCACGAAAACAATGAAGGGGGGTGAAAAACCAAAACCTTAACCGTTAAAACTCACCTCCAAGTGTTCCCAACACGAATCCAACCTTCAATCTAGCTTCCAAATGGCTTTAGAGGCAATGTAATCAGTGGAAAAGGGTTGTGAGTTGAGAGAATTGAAGAAATTTTGAAGGGAATATGAGAAATAACCTTTCTCGAACCCTAATCCCCTTTAAATCCTCTCTGGTCACGACACTCTTGTTACAGCGAGATATTCTCGCTGCAGCAACACCCTCCCTTGCTACAGCGAAAAACTCAGACAAAACTGTACTCTAATTTCTGCAGAATCTTGCCACAGCGAGACCCTCTTACTACAACGAGACTGCACCCAGAAATGCAGCTCAAACTGTGGCTTTGTCGCTATAGCGAGACACTCTCGCTACAGCGACAAGGCGACAGTTTCACGCCTTCCTCCCAGGGCCCTCTCGCTACAGCGAGACATCTCTCACTGCAGCGAGAACACCCTGCATCAGAGCACTTAGCCAAAAATTCAGTCCAACCCCAATCATCCAATCATATACAAATATAAATACACAACACCGAAAAGTTAACTTAAACACTTATATTAATAATCAATTATATTACAGAATTTGGGGCGTTACAGTCCTCTTTGTATAACTTGGGATTTTCAAATGCCTCAAAATGCAATTCCTCCAATTCATTGAGTTGCAACAATTTCTTTTCACCTGTGACCTACGAATCAAAATTTAGGAACTTCAAAGCCCAGTAGGCCTTGTGTTCAAGCTCAACTAGTAAGTGACATGCTTTACTAAAAACCAAACAATAAGGGGACATACCAATAGAGATTCTAAAAGCAGTGCGATAGGCTCAGAGTGCATCATCCAATTTCAGAGACCAATCTTTCCTAGAGTTGTTAACAATATGCTCCAAGATTCTTTTCAATTCCTTATTAGATATCTCAACTTGTCCACTAGTTTGGGGATGATAAGGGGTGGCCACCTTATGGGTGATACCATATTTCATCAAAAGAGCTTCAAATTGTTTATTGCAAAAATGGGTGCCACCATCACTAATAATAGCCCTAGGGGTTCCAAATCTAGTGAAAATATTTTTCTTTAAAAATTTGATTACAACTCGAGTATTATTGGAGGGTAGTGCTACAACCTCTACCCATTAGGAAACACACTCAACAGCTACTAATATGTACTCATTATGCATGCATTTGGGGAAAGGCCCCATGAAGTCTATGCCCCAGACATTAAACAATTCACAAATTAGGATATTACTAAGAGGCATTTCATGTTTCCTGGATATGTTTCCACTTCTTTGGCACCTATCACATGACTTAACATATAAATAAGCATCTTTAAATAAAGTAGGCCAATAAAAGCCACACTACAGGACCTTATGAGTGGTTTTCGATGCGCCACAATGACCTCTGTCACGACCTCTTTTATAAGGAACCGAGAACATTGTTTCTACACCACATACTTATTTAAGATAGATAAATAATAGAGAATATAAGTATAAAATTCACTTCTCATTCAAAATAAAACAAAGTTCCTTACAACAAATATCCAATAGAACAACATAATATTACATTTAGTTTATAATACTCAAAATACACAAAATTATACTACATAGCTCCTTGTATATGAGGTCTCAAAATATAAGGAAAAAGGACTTCAATGTAAAATTACTCGACTCCAGCTTCTAACATTTCTCCACTGTCCCTTCAGCCTGTGAAGTAGATGCAACACCTGCTACATCTGCTCACAGACCACCGTAAATCATTGCAATACACATGCACACAACAGCATAGACAAAAATGCAAGGGTGAGCTTATAAAAATAAAATAAAATCATATATATAGAGCAAAATATTACTCACAACAATAACCCCCATGCATTCCCAGCTCATCTAATGCACAACATGAAAACAATTTTCAACTGGTTTTGCAGCCTAAGTAATCCAGAAGAAACTGAGCCAGTCAGGGAGCGACCTATTTCGGTGTCTGGATCCAGACTGCACAGCACAACACAACTCAGCATGCTCTATCATTGCACGTCTACCCACCTAAACATGTAACTCAGCTCTATAATGATGCAAGACATATATCTCAACATGATACAACATGGCTAAAATCATTTCAACAGCTCAGCTAAGATAAGTTTATAATAAATCATCCAAATCTCATTGTTAATATATCAGTTATCAGTCATTACAGCATAGATAAACAACTTTGAAGTATTAAATCCTTTATATCTCAGCTTTTATCAAAGAGATCTAACAATACCAACTCAAACATTTCTTTAATAGTATATCAAACCGTTCAAAACATAGTTTGTCACGACCCCTTTCTTAAGAAACTGAGAACATTGTTTCTACACCACATACTTATTTAAGATAGATAAATAATGGAGAATATAAGTATAAAATTCACTTCTCATTCAAAATAAAACAAAGTTTCTTACAACAAATATCCAATAGAACAACATAATATTACATTTAGTTCATAATATTCAAAATACACAAAATTATACTACGTAGCTCCCTTTATATGAGGTCTCAAAATATAAAGAAAAAGGACTTTGATGCAAAATTACTCGACTTCAGCTTCTAACATTTTTCCAGTGGCCCCTCAGCTTGTGAAGTAGATGCAACACCTACTACATTTGCTCACATACCACCGTACGATCATGGCAGTACACACGTACACAACGACATAGAAAGAAATGCAAAGGTAAGCTTACAAAAATAAAATGAAATCGTATATATAGAGCAAAATATTACTCACAGCAACAGCCCCACGCATTACCAACCCATCTAATGCATAACATGAAAAATGGTTTCCAACTGGTTTCACAGCCTAAGTAATCTAGAAGGAACCGAGCCGGTTCGGGAGCGACCCATTCCGGTATCTGTATCCAGATAGCACAACACAACAACTCAGCATGAACTTACCATTACACGTCTACCCACCTAAACATGTAACTCGACTCTATAATGATGTAAAATATATATCTGAGCATGATGCAGCACCGCTAAAATTGTTTTAACAGCTCAACTAAGACAAGTTTATGATAGATCAGTCAAAATCTCAGCATTTTAATCAATTAACAACAATTACAGCTTAAAAAATAGCTTTTATTCAACAGATCTAACAAAATCATTTCAAAACATCTTGAAATGGCATATTAAACCATTCAAAACGTAGTTCATAGGTTAAAGTAAGCTCCCCTTACCTTAGAACAGTGATCCACACCAGATCTACCGAATATTACTTGTTTTAACGCAAGATTCACCAAAGATTTGGCTTTAGAATGAAGTCTCTCCTAAGAACACTATGAACTTCTATGAGAAAAAGAAGAAGAGAAACGAATAGTGAATCTAACTTCAAACTTAGAGAAACTTACCTCAAATCCCTTAGAACGGACATAAAATCACAGGTCTGGAGAGAAATCTAAGTTTAGGAAGGTTTAGTATGACAAAAAATGGTGATATATGACCTTGGAACCTTTGAGAAGTGTAAAGAACTAAAAATTTCATGCAAGGACCCTTATTTATAAGGGAAAAAAAATTTGGCACTGTTCATGCCAAGTTACTGTTCATACCGCCACTGTTCACGCGGTTTGCATTCTTCACCGATATTGTTCACTTTTTAAAAAAAAAATAATAATTTCAATCTCCATCTAAATCTATTTCAATATCAATAATCCTTCAATTAACATTTAACAAGTATAAAATGTTATAGATTACTCAATAATAAATTACAAGCCTGACAGTATGAGACTAGAGAGGCGACTTTATGCGCACCAGATATGGTCCAGGGATAGAATGAGCAAATCAAAATGATCAGAGAAAAGATGAAAGCTGCACATGATCGACAGAAGAGTTACTATGAGAAGAGGAAGAAGCCTTTGGAGTTCCAGGTGGGTGACCATATGTTTTTGAAGGTCTTACCTGTGACTAGAGTTGGGAGAGCTCTGAAATCTCGGAAGCTATCTCCTAAGTTCATTGGACCGTTCGAAGTGCTGAGTAGAATCGGTGCTACAGCGTACCGGATAGCATTACCTCCGAATCTCTCAAATCTACATACGGTGTTCCATGTATCTCAACTCAGGAAGTATATGTGTTGGATCCTTCTCATGTGATCGACCTTGACCCGATTCAAGTAAGAGAGGACTTGTCCTACAATGTGTACCCCATGAAGATTGTAGAGCACTGTATTAAGCAGTTGAGGGGTAAGGAAATCTCGTTGGTAAAGGTGATATGGAGCTCAAGTGATGAGGGAGATGCTACATTGTATCCAGAGTTGTTTGTATAGTTTGGTTGAATTTCGGGGACAAAATTCCTTATAGGAGGGGAGAGTTGTAACGTCCTGGATTTTGTAATAATATTTTAATTATTAATATAAATATGTGAAATGATGTTTGAATGTGCATTTAACTATGTGATAATGTGGATGCGAATATGATTGTGAACATGTGTGTATAGTGTGGTTGAAATGTGGATGAGAACTTGTGTTTAAGCACGATTATTGAAGATTGACTTGTGATGGGGTTGGAAATGTAGGCTAAGTATGTGCTGTAAGGGCATTCTGGCTGGAGCGAGAAGGCTCTGGACAAAGGCCATCGTTCTAATTGTAATTGCATTGTAATGGAAATTTTGGTGTAGAATGCAATGTGACTGATGTTGAACATGATGTGTGATGAAATATGATGATTGCGATGAAATGGTTGATTACAATGGGGTGAAAATGTGAGGGCATGTCATTGTTTGATGATGAGTAAAATGTAATGATTAAAAAACATATATGTGTGAATGGCATGTGAATCAGATTGTGGTTATGTTTGATATGTTGGAAAATTGTGAATAGTTCAGCGATACACAGGGGTATGGAAGACGTGGGTGGTAGAAATACCTTGGGGAAGAGAGGGTGGTGGTGACACCAACAGTGAGCGTGGGTGCACCACAGACCACACACTCTCCTCCTGACTCGGCTTCTGACTAACACCTTTGCTTGGGAGGCTCAGTACTGCACAGTTGTATTTGTGGAGCGGGGGCTATCCGCCGACCATCCATGGTGTGAAACTAAGTAAGTCCCTGAGGTTGAGGGCATTAAGAATCTGTGATCACAATGTCACAATGAGCATGCTGATGAATCCACAATTTATTGGATTTTTACTTGTCTTTTTAGTGTTCTTTAATAGAAAAAGTAGACTTAGAGAAAGTAAATAACATAGAGACATCATCTTGGTCAAATGTCATAGGTTTCTTAATTTTTGGTTAATTTACATTGATTTACATAGATATAATTTGCAATTTTGATCATTTGAATAATTGTGTAGGAATTTCTGAACTTATTCCATGGATTTATAGCATTTGAGAAAGTTTGAGTTGAAAGTGACCACTTTGGATTCCATAGTGAACACTATAGCAAGCTAGATCCAAAAGGGCAAACCAAAGTGATCACTTTGATTCCATAGTAGACACTACAGAGACCCCAATCTTAAGAGGTGATGTGCGTAGTTACATTGGTCCCATAGTAGACACTCTAGGGCTGACCAAAGTGATCACTCTGATTCCAAAGTGAGCACTCCAGAGAAGGCCAAAGTCACCCTAACCTGCACGTAACTAGAATGACTCATAGTAGACACTCTAAAGAGGGTCAACAGCATGGTGACCTGTGTGTAACCACTATGAAACCATAGTAGCTACTATGGGAGTACTGTGCATCATCACTATGAACCATAGTAACTACTATAGGCGAAAATCTCTGCACTATAAATAGAACTTTAGATATTAGGGTACGGGCTTTTTTACACACTTTTAGCTTCTTTTGCAATTTTGGGGAACACTTTCAGAGCTTAGGTCATCCTTGGGTGACGACCAAGGACCAATCCTAGGGTTTGATTCACATTTCTTCTTCACTTTCCTTTAATTTTTACATTGATGTCATTGATTTCCCTTTGTTTTCATCTTAAATTTGTAAGACCCAACCTCATGGAGGGCTAAACTTTCTTGTAATCCTTAGTGAGTTCATGGATTCTTGAATTCCTGGGTATGAATGTCAATATAATTCCCTTTCCTTCATGAATTTATATTTCCCAACTCTTTGAATTAAATTAATGGTTGAATGAGGGGGACATTGCTTAATTAACCATAATTTGTTTTAATGAAATTCTTAACTTGGTTTGCTTAATCCTAAGTTAATTTCTAAGGTTGCGTAATCTTGGGGAAAAGAGTTGGAGTCCATTAAATTTGCTTAAATTCGTATGAGATTTTAAGGTTAATTCTCGCTTGTTGAGTTAATATAATTCAGAGGAAGAGGAAAAGTATTGAATCTTGAGAGGAATAGGGATAGAATCACATGAATGAACTAAGGATTGCTACATTTCATTGATTGAATTCATTAATTTCATCACTTGCCTTTACATTAAAATTGGAATCACACAATACCCCCTTTTCAATTGCTTTCACAGTAAATATTTACAAGATGTTCAATGTATGTTACCAACCTCATTTGAGACAACTTAGGCTTACATCCGAGACTACATAAAAATTTTGCATATTTTGATGAGATTGGCGACAAATCTTTTGCAAATGAAAAACGTATCATCAAATTGGCGTCGTTGCCGGGGACTTTGGTGTTAATTTTGCATTGACCTTGTTAGTTACTCTATTTTAGTGTTTTGTTATTAATTTTTTTGCACTTTGCTCTATTTTATCGCAGAATTCTGCAGAATTTGTGATTGTGTGTTACATTTTTCTTTTAATAGTTGGCAATTTCTTTCTATTTTTTGCTGCTTAGTGTTATTTCTTTATTTTACTGCATTTAGACATTAGTTTTTTTGCTTAATTGTTATTTGAAATTTTCTGAATTTTTTCTATTTCATTTAGTTTACTTCTTTCCATTATTCATAGTTAGTTTTTAGTGCATGACCAGATCGAATCCTGGAGACTTGTATCCACTTGATCCAGAGATTGATAGGACTTTTCATAGTAACATTAGATTACAAAGACGTAATTCTAAACATTTTGAGGAACCTTAATCTCCTTTATCTATCTACTCATCACCACATTCTTTAAATTTTGAATTGGACCAAATAGATGATAATGAAAGAACATTAAAAGAACTGGTTGCACCTGATGTAACTTATCAAACTTTATGCATACAGTATCTTGATATTGATGCTCCTTTTGTTCTTAAGACTAGACTGATACACTTGTTGCCTAGATTCCATGGTCTTGCAGGTGAAGATTCACACAAACACCTCAAGGAATTCCACATAGTTTGTTCGACCATGAGGCCATAAGGTGTGCCTGAGGAGCATGTCAAATTGAAAGCCTTCCCTTTTTCTCTGATGAATGCAGCCAAGGATTGGCTCTACTATCTCCCTCCCGAATCTATTACCAGTTGGGACAACTTGAAGAGGCTTTTCCTGGAGAAATTTTTCTAGCATCTAGAGCTGCATCTTTAAGGAAGGAAATTTGTGGGATAAGACAGCTGGAAAGAGAGACCCTTTATGAATATTGGGAAAAATTCAAGAGGTTGTGTGCTAGCTGCCCCCACCATCAAATTAGTGACCAATTATTGATACAATACTTTTATGAGGGACTGCACCCTATGAACCAAAGCATGATAGACGTCGCAAGTGGAGGGGCATTGGTAGACAAGACTCCGGTTGCAACCCGTAACTTGATAGAGAACATGGCTGCCAACTCCCAACAATTTGCAACAAGGAAAAATTCTTGTGTAACCATAAATGTAAGTGAAGTGCAAGTTGCTGAATCTAGTAAGCTAGAACACAAGCTTGATGAATTAGCATCCATGGTGAAGCAATTGGCTTCTATGCAAAAGAGTGTTGCTGCACCTTCACCTCCTCCACCATCCATTCCAGCCATGATGTGTGGCATTTGTTCCGGTACAGACCATTACACTGATAGCTATCCCACACTACAAGAGTCTGACACTCTAGAAGGTAATCCTCAGGCTTATGCTGCAAACATTTACACTAATAAATTTCCTTTTCCAAATTTGCAGCAACAGCCCAATTGGGATCTATCTTCCAATAGATACAACCCAGGCTGGAGGAACCATCTAAATTTGAGATGGGGGAGCAATTCTCAACAGCATAACTAGCAGCAAGGCACTTAATATCAAGCACATCATGCTGGCCCAAATAGATCCCATCAATCCCAACATCAACGACAACAAGTCCAGCACCATCACCAACCATCTTCCTCACAACCAAGTGCATCCCAGAAAAATGAACCATCATTGGAAAAGCTCATGAAGCAATTGACCATGAACAATATCACTTTCTAGTAGAGAACTGAGGCTAGTATCAAAACTTTGGAGAATCAAATGTGACAGATATTCTCTTCTCTGAACCAGATGCAATCCCAAGGCTCAAGGAACCTCCCTGCACAAACTATTGTAAATCCCAAAAATGTGAGTGCAATCATCCTGAGATTTGGAAAAGTGATGCAAGAGCCCACAATGCCCACAAAGAAGGAAGACTCAAGTTGTACTCCAGCTACAATTGGTCAAAATGGAGAGGATAAGACTCAAGAACAACCAGAATCCATACCTGCCCAACAAAAGGTGGCAAAAAATATTGAAAGGCCAATTCCTCTACCATTTCTTCAGAGAGTTATCCAGCCAAGCGAAAAGATTGAAGAGGCTGAAAAAGAGATTTTAGAGACCTTCAGGAAGGTAGAGGTGAACATACCTCTACTAGATGCAATCAAGCAAATACCCAAGTACGCCAAGTTCTTGAAAGATTTGTGTAATCACAAGAGGCGTCTTAAAGGTAATAAGAAGGTAAATATGGGTAGAAATGTTTCTGCACTTTTTGAGAAACAAAGGTCCACAATGCCTGAGAAATGTAAGGACCTAGGAACATTCACCATTCCATGCATCATTGGTAATAATAGGATTGAGAATGCCATGTTAGATTTAGGAACATCTATAAATGTCATGCCATTGTCCATTTTTACTTCACTGTCTCTTGGCCCTCTACAGCCTACAGGTGTGGTTATTCAGTTAGCGAATAGAAACATAACAAACCCAGCCGGGATTGTTAAAGATGTGCTAGTCAGAGTGAATGATCTCATCTTTCCAGCTGACTTCTACATCTTGGATATGCAAGAGGGAGAGTCAATGAAGGGTGTTGCACCAATCATTCTGGGAAGACCGTTCTTGAAGACCGTAAGAACAAAAATTGATGTGCATGCTGGGACACTTACTATGGAGTTTAGGGACAGCATAGTGCGCTTCAACATACTTGATGCTATGAAGCACCCATCTGAAGAACATTC